TCCCTAGTCATCTTCTCCACTGGCTAACTTGTCCCATCTGTCTCGCTTCCATCCGCCAGTTGAAGGAATCTGCCAAGGCAAACAATCGTGTTGTCTCCATCATCAGGGAATTGGATCTGGTTCCTCCCTGCTTCTGAATATATGCCACTACTGTGGTGTTGTCCGTGGCTATGAGAACAGATGATAGATGAAGCTGTGTTCTCCATTCGAGGATGGTGTAATATACTGAACCACAAAAGAAACATCACCCCAAGTAACATTGCATGAAAAGTTGTCAGTTAAATATCTGTGTAATTTTTGTCAAATTTTCTAAAATTTAACATTACCTTGTTTGGAAAAATGAAATTTGATGATAAAAAAACAAAGCAGATGACAATAAAACTGATGGTCCAAACGCATCACGGCAACGTCCAAGGTAACCCGATGCACATGAGTTTCGTGCAAACTGAAATGCACATGCATTCCTCCATTTCTTGCACTATAAAAATCCACCCAGTTTGGATAACATTCATTCATTATTGAATTGCTACCAAGATTGACAAGAAATCAGCGACACCAAGCCTTTTGATGATTGCAAGCTGGACAATCCGCCCGGCAAGTAGCCAATGCATTTCGAGTCCATGTAAGGACCATATACAGGCTCCACCAACGGTACCATACCACCAACACTACAGATGACGGACCACGTAGTGGCAGACCAGGGGTCACCACCTGACGTCAGAATCATCAGATTGTGTGACAGCATCTTCAAGATCGCTTTGTTACTGCTGCAGAAACTGTTCGACAGACCATTGGGACACACCAGCGACACATTAGTGTGGACATCGACGATTGACACCTGCTCTGTCACAGGACACAGGTCACAGGCCACACCGAGGACCCATTCTGACACCACGTCATCACCGGGACCGTCTTCAGTGGGCAACAGAGCACTAGCATTGGCGCCACCCCAGTGGAGAAGAGTCCTCTTCTCAGATGAGAGCCGTTACTGTATCTCAACAGCAGATGGCAGAAAGAGAAAGTCTGGCGATGCCGTGGGGAACGTCATTTGGATGCTTGTGTTGTTGAAAGAGACTTGTGGTGTGGTTCGAGCATCATGGTATTGGGTGGAATTGGTCTTGCACAGTCTTCCAGAACATTGGTCCAGGGACAGGCAATGGTGTACATTGATCAAGTCTTGAGACCACACGCCATACCTCATTTGGCATGTCGCCGCAACCACGATTTTCAGCATGATAACGCCCGTGCCCACACTGCAAGAGCAACAAGAGACTTCCTCCAGCAGAATGGCATCAGAACCATGCAGTGGCCTGCCCTCAGTTTCGATTTATATCCCACTGAGCCCATGTGGGATGAGATTCAAAGACGTCTGAATGATGTTGCACAGCACAGCAGTCATCAATGCACATGGCAGACACACGAGATACTGACTTGTGATGCCATTTTCTCAGCGGCTAGTGTAGTGTTTCACTTTAAGAACATTTGACACTTTAATTTCAACCTTGATGATCAGTTTTAGCCAAGTTTCTTCTTTTTAACATGTCTCAAAGTATGTTTACAGTGTTTGGACAAATAAGGTTTCTCATATATCTATCCATGGTGATGTTTCTTTTGTGGTTCAGTATATATGGCCTTCATTTCCCTATAGTTGATATGAAGGTTTTCCTCCTCTGTGTTCTATGAACTGTGAGATCGTCCATATGGACTTCTCATCACAAATCTGACGTGTCTGTGAATAGATGATGTTCTGGCATCGGATAAGTCCACGGGATCCCACTCATCACATGTTCTCTGTGATTACACCATTGGAGGTCTTGTACCAAAGTGGGAGGTAACTGAGACTGGAACTCTAGGCCCTTCGAGAGTAGAGTTGACCCATGTCTGTAGAGGACGTAGCCTCAGCCTTCCTCTGAAGGTCATAACCTCTAGAGATGTCAAGTTTCCTTGCAGAAACATCTACCACCTCAGCAACTTGCTGGGTTGACTTGAGATTGATTGGATCATCTTTATAGTCTTGTTGAATTGATCCTCTGGTGGACATAGATATCCCCTGTCTAGCTGGAATCTTGCTCCGATGTATATAATGTCTTGGACCGGAGTGATCTCTGACTTGGCTGGGTTGACTAGGTAACCTAGGTAAGTCATAAGTTTGATCAAGAAGATTTTGACTTCCGTATGGATTAAATCTTGAATTTTGGAGGCCGCACCAGATATCTATTCTTGAGGGTCTTTAGATCCATTATCATCCTCATCTCGGTTGTGTTCTTCTTCGGGACTTAAAAAAACTGGGGAGTAATAACCTTTAGTGTTGTTGGACTCCTTTAGTTCCCGAATGGCTCACCTCTTTAGTAGTTTCCTGACAGCCAATTCTGCAGCTGCTAACTTGGCACCAGTCAGGTGAAAGCTTCAACCCACGGCGTGTATGTTGAGACTCGGATGGTTCCTGAAGTGTAGCTTGTAACTGTGAGCCACAGCGTCTAGAATCCAGTCGTCGGGCGTAACTTGCTTCCAATTTTCGGCGTATAAGAGAAGGCCCCCTCCGACAGGGCCCGGGTCGGCGTTACGTGGAAAGATGGTAGGCGTATAACGCAATCCATAGACATAACTAGGTCAAAAGGGTCTATAACGTCGGAAGGGATTGTAAGGAAGTCAGAATTTTCTCTCCATTCTGCCGTTTGATCTTCCATGGCGATTATATCGCCTTGGCTGGCGAAAAGAGTCCTGTGAAGATTGTGGCTTGTCGTACCTTCGCCTCGGTTGGAAGGAATCCTTTCCGGAGGGGACAAACTTCTTCTCAGGAGGCTGTTTGGGCGCAGTTACCCGTTGAAAGTTGTGGTCACTGATATTGGTTGTGAGGTCACAAACTTCCTGTTCTGGTTAGATATGGCCCTTGACATCATCTGGGATAGGAGCTGTTGTCGCTGTAGTCTAGGTAACTGTAAGGAAGTCCAGACTTGGGATGATAGTAAATCTTCTTGCATCTTAACGACCGAGTCAAGGAGGCTGTGAATTAGTTCGACTTGATCGGTCCTAATAGTCATGGGTATTTCCGGCACAATTCCTTTATAGGATGGTTGAAGAGGCAGTATGATGTGTCTAATTCTGGCAACAAACCAATTTATATATGCCCCGATATCCACGGAGTACCTGACAACCGATGCTAAATCCTTGAAATGTGATGCTGACATTGTTATCTTCATTTCGGGATTGTGCACTAAGTTATAGAAATTCACATCCAGGTGTTGGAACTCCGGAAGTGTAGCATCGTGTGTCTTGTATAACTTCCATTTCATATTTGGAAGAGGTAGATGTTCATCTGTGTTTAGTGGTCATCGAGTGTGCATAAGCTCCTTCCAGTGATCTATCATTTCTACACACAATGTCATTGAATATGCGCATCGAAGTTGAGAGTTTAGTTTAGTGGCAATTATAGAATTCAATAGTGGCTCCTAAAGTCCTTCACACAAAACCGTCGAGAAGAAAGGATGAAATGGTTTAGTGTAAAATATTTTGGCTACTGGAAACTGTCCTGGAACATTCACACAATCCACTTTCATACACTACATTTATTCAGTACTGATTCCAAAGCGAACTCACCCTTGTGTCGTCACTAGCCATGCTTATGCCTCCCTCGTTTCTTACATGTATCCACATTATCCTTACAGTGTTCCCTATTACCCTTTTCTGTCACAAAAATCACCCGATAAATTATAAAATGTCATTCATGTGTATCCGCGAGTTAGACGTCTGACGCCAAGAGCCGTTTCAGTTCGCGCCATATCGGCTCTTTCCTCACCAGTTGGTATCTCGTTGATTACAGAATGGGACGAGTGTGCCACATGGCATCGGGATCACTAGTAAGTGTCCGTCACCTTTTCGTTCAGTTCCGTAACATCATAGGCATGACTAGGTAAATTTGCAATTAGTTTCACAGTGGCAGCTCAGTCACTTAGCTGTCGGACTAACAATCTGAAGGTTGCAAGTTCGCATCAGACCGATTCTCACAAAAACTGGTTGCTTGTCTTTGAGACATGTGACCTACGACAGAGTTGGTCCTCATGACAGGTTGTGGTACTGTATTCTGAAGGTGATCCAAGATTTTAAGCCAACCAAACAGAGAGTAACAATGAAGTTGTTACATCATATAAATAAATGATGTTATACTCTAACAACTTCTGACAAAAACCTGACGTCTGTGTCACATGGTCCCCTGGAGATTGGCATTGAAAGCCTGTGAAACTGAATTTCATATCCTCATGAGTGCCTCTGCCAAATCTTTTATTTTGAAGCTGTTACTCTGTTTCATCCTATACATGTTCAGTCAGAGTGAGTCCAGATGAAACATTGTCCTGCCGCAAAACAACACCAGGCACTTGACATTGAAAAAATGGTACGACTACTGGTCGCACAATTTTGTCTCTGTACAAAAAATGACCATTGCTGCAACAAGTGGGTTATAGTTTCATGCAGTGGTCCCTCCTCACACCCTTACAAAGCCACCACCAAAACGATTTCAATCAAAAACACAGGTCTAGGCATAACATTCTCCTGTACATCGAAACACAGCTGACATCCAAAAGAGCGTTATTAATGAAATCTGGACTGATCTGTAAACAAGACGTTTCTACACCAAAACAGATTTCTGCACCACTGTACATAGCTGAACCTGTTGGTGCCTGTTGGACATGTGGTGGGTTGATGTGAAAGCACTCCATGTGCATGTAGGCGATTTCTGATGGTGTTTGAATGGATTGTCCTGTGTGAGCTGTTGTCACAATACTGCTAAATGCATGAGTCAGTGGTCTGTAGGATTGTTAAGACCATAACATGTGTTTAAATCCCAGATGCTTTTGCAGATCGGATTTCTACATCTCATATTGTCACATGCACAGTTTCTTTTTGTACCTTGTATATATTAATGTCCTCATTCATACTTGAATTCCTTCCTATTCTTCAGTGTAGTGTGGTATGTTAAAACTATACATGTTTGTCTGTTACAGGAACTAGAGGAAATTTACATTGACACCAGTAACACTATCAATGTAGCCATAGAAAGTCATGCCCTCTTGCTACTCACCAAGGTAAGTAGAGCACACTACTGTGGAGTAAATTACCGGTAACTTCAATCCATTCAGGTGTCTTGAAAACTTGCTCAACATAACACAAAGTGGATTTGTTGCAGGCCAAAGAACAACATAGAAGATATGATGATCTACTAAAGATCTGTCGCCAAGTAAGCCCTCATGTGGATATATCCCATTTTGTCAAAACAATGTGTCAGGAGCAAGGAGCACCCAATACATACATTCACCACTTCCAACCAGCAGACCTGTCAGTCTCTACCACTGAGGTAAGTGACATATCTCTCTCTCTCTCTGTCTCTCTGTGTGTCACTCTGTGTGTCTCTCTGTGTGTGTCTCTCAAAAACACACCCAGCAAATCTCTCAGCTTCTGCCACTGGTATAATTCACATCAACCACACACACACAAACTCACATACACTCACAAACATCACACCCAGCAAATCTCTCAGCTTCTGCCACTGGGATAATTCACATCAACCACATGTATAGTCTGGAAGTTAATTTAAGGTACCGACGTTTACTACAATATCTGAAAAACTATCGGACCTACTCCAGTCAAAGTTGGTATGAGATTATTAAACAGTCATAAAATAACTGGAAATTACATTCAAAGACAATCGGTGCATGAGTAAAAAATCTGTCTATTTAGCTATCACTATTTTACATCAACAACCAGACCTGTTCGTCACGGGTGGAACGAGCTTTCATTGTACACTCACAAACAACACATCCAGCATACCTGTCAGCCTCAACCAAGGAGAGAATTGTCATTGCACACACACACCAGAGAACAGACTTCACCTCACAGTTACACCTAATTCAGGCAGATTAAACAACTTCCAAAACTTCCAGTTCTATCGAGACATATTGGTGAATAGCTTTATGTGTAGTCTGTTTAAACTTGTAGGTAGCAATGAAGAATCAACTGATAATTGATGGGTACACAGAGCCAATTATGAACCACAAGAGAAAAGAGCTCCAGAGAGAGGCTGTGGAACTAGCATCTTTCATCAAGCGCAGTCAAGATGTCACCACCTCACTGATCAGTATATGTCAAAGGTAAAGTTGCTCCCATGTCTACACAATATTACTGTCACATTAAAGAATGTGACAAGATGCACATATTTAAAGCATAGCCTAAAAAATGTTGTTTTTCAGTCATTAATGCTGAAAAAGAGAGCTGTTACCAATACGTGTTCATGACTGTGACTTAATGGGAAGAATGGAAGTCACTGTAACATGATATTAAACAAACTTATGTTGAGTCAATTCTCATCACTACCTCAGCAAATGAATCTTAATAGTTTGTGCATGAGTTTATTACTCCTTGAAATCTACAAATGAGGTTCATGATGTTATATTTCCTAAAAGCCCATCATCAGATCTCATGACAGTATTTGTGACCTGTAGGTGTGAGATGTGACTGGTGAGTAAACACAGTGCCTGCTGGAGGAGACACATTCTGTATCTCACATGCAGTATTCAGTATACCATAGTATACATAGTGTGTCATGTACAATATACAGTATATCACATTCAATACATAGTGTGTCATGTCCAATATACATATATCACATTCAATACATAGTGTGTCATGTACAATATACAGTATATCACATTCAATACATAGTGTGTCATGTCCAATATACAGTATATGACATTCAATACATAGTGTGTCATGTACAATATACAGTATATCACATTCAATGCATAGTGTGTCATGTCCAATATACAGTATATGACATTCAATACATAGTGTGTCATGTACAATATACAGTATATCACATTCAATGCATAGTGTGTCATGTACAATATACAGTATATGACATTCAATACATAGTGTGTCATGTACAATATACAGTATATCACATTCAATGCATAGTGTGTCATGTCCAATATACAGTATATGACATTCAATACATAGTGTGTCATGTACAATATACAGTATATCACATTCAATACATAGTGTGTCATGTCCAATATACAGTATATCACATTCAATACATAGTGTGTCATGTACAATATACAGTATATCACATTCAATACATAGTGTGTCATGTCCAATATACAGTATATCACATTCAATACATAGTGTGTCATGTCCAATATACAGTATATCACATTCAATACATAGTGTGTCATGTCCAATATACAGTATATGACATTCAATACATAGTGTGTCATGTACAATATACAGTATATCACATTCAATACATAGTGTGTCATGTCCAATATACAGTATATCACATTCAATACATAGTGTGTCATGTCCAATATACAGTATATCACATTCAATACATAGTGTCTTGTCCAATATACAGTATATCAAATTTAATATACTCACACGCAAAAGAAACGGAAGTCAAGTATGCAGTATACATGTTATTTATTTTCAACAGTAAAGACAAGAAATACTAATAGTGCAAGATTGACAAAAATAAAAACAAAGATTTGACTGAAGACAGTTTAATGGATTAAAAGGCAGATGACATAATTGTTTTTTTAAATGTTAAGGGCTTACACAGTTTCGGGTCAATACCCAAAATGTCAGTCAATACCTGGTGTGACCACCATTAGCATTGATCACTGCCACACATATCCTGTACATTGAGTGGATCAGATGATTTGTGAAGGCCCTAGGGATCCTCCTGCACACATCCAGAGCAGCTGTGCGTAGTTCATCCGCAGTTGTAGGGACTGGGCGCACATTGTGCAGATGTCTTTGAACCTCATCCCACAAGTGTTTGATGGGGTTCAGATCAGGGCTGAGGGCTGGCCACGGTAGAACACGGATGTTGTGTTGTTGCAGAAAGGCCATGGTAGCTCTGGCAACATGGGGACAAGTGTTGTCCTGCTGAAAAATGTGTTGTTGATGTTGTGCAAAAAATGGAACAACGTGGGGTCTGATCACTTGGTCGATATACCACTGAGCAGTAATGCCGAGTCCCCGACCTTGACCAACATTCAGAAAGCACATGGGTCCATGTCTTGCATTTAGTCCAATCCTTGCCCATATCACGACGCTAGGTCCACGCCATGGATCCCTTTCCACAACGTTTCTGTGAGCGAAACGACCACCTCGACGCCGCCAAATTCTGACTTTTCAAACTGCATGGGAGACACAAAAGCGACTTTCATCAGAGAAGATTACACACCTCCACTCACGATGACGCCAATTGCGATGACCCTGTGCCCACTGAAGTCGTGCTTGTCGATGCCATGGTTGGAGAACAGGACGATGTGCTGGTCGGCGACATCTGAGGTTGTTGGAATGGAGACGTCGGATCACAGTGTCCCGGCTAATGTGTCGATTATGTGTTCCTATGGTCTGTCAAGCACTTTCACTTACAGTTTGGAACGGATGTCGCTGGTGTTGACGGGTAATCTGCCGATCTTGTCGAGGTGTGGTGACCCTAGGACGACCGCTCCAAGGAAGGTCATCTGTGGTATGTGTGGCATTGTATCAATGCAGGAGACGGTAAATTGTGGTAATGTTAACGTTGAAATGACGGGCAACATCTTGGACAGACTCTCCAGCTTCCAAACGTCCGATAGCCTGGTTTCTCTGAATTTGAGTTAGGCGTGGCATTGTTGACCAAGGAGTGGTAGGTCCAAGAATCAGCCACAGTTTTATACCCAGTACAGTTTATGACAGTTCGTGCATTTTCGATTTCATGAGAAATGGGTGCATGATAGCCACATATTCATTGAAATGGTGCGCTTTGGCGATTCGTTTTTTATGTTGCGTTTATACTCGGGGCTTCCAAAATGCAACCAAAAATATTGATAACACCATCAGGCTTCACTACATGCTAAAACACGTATCAATTTATGGTTCCGTGTTTGTTACCTATTTGCTTAAAACCACTTGCGTTTCTTTTGCATGTGAGTATACATAGTGTGTCATGTACAATATACAGTATATCATATTTGTGGCTGAGAAGGAATGAAACAGCAAACATGCAGGCTCGCTCGCCTGTTTTTCCCGCTCGCCTGGGTTCCACAAATTTCATGTCTTCAGGTTTCATTTCTAACCCACATTTTTCTAACTGTATTTTCATATTCTTTGGGATCTAATGTTTCAATCTGGCAGTAACTGACCATGCCATTTGAAAAAGCCACCTTCTCCCGGACATATTTGTTTGGGGTCGTTTACGCCTGACTGTTGCAGTTCTTCTCGCCTCTTGCCTTGATTGACAGGTCCTATGAACTTTGTTTTTGATCCTACTCTCCGTTTATTGGGTACTGACTCTGTGGGCGAGTCAAGTTATGTGCATAAATTAAACAATCACCTGGTTCATGTCACGTCACTCAATCTTGTCATTTTTGTTTGCTTTGAAATATACAACAGTATTTGGTAAAACTATTATAGATAACACATTTTCGTTGTCAAATTTAATTATAAAGTTTGACTGTGTACTTTCTTCAGTTCATTTAAGTATGAAACGAAAAATCGATGTGCAAACCTTTTACAAGAATCCACTACTCGCCTCATGTCTGTCATCGCTCTGTCATCTGTCAATCATCCTAAACATTTACATTTTCAACATCTTCTTTTGGACCACCCTAAAGTCTATATCTAGAACTTTGCATAGATGATCTGACATGAAATATATGACACCTAGGCAGACATGTTTAAATGGTATATTGGCCTATTACCACACCATTTTAGCATATATCATCATGAAATCTGATATTCAGAAGGTATCTGAACATGCCATTCTATTCATTCTGTCATTTGTTTTGTCAAGATCTTGATTACCTTAGTGTAATGTGTAAATATTCTAGAATATTAAGATAAGCTACTGAGCCTTGCATGAGCTCTATAATTCTGGCAAATACCCTATCTCTATTACATCAAAGCCATTATCCCCTATTTTAGCTTTCATCACACTATAAAATCTTCCGATTTTCAACAGAAGTAATCTGCACTATCAACTCTATCCATAATTAGTTGTACAAGTAATAGTATCTTGCTACCGACACCTCATGTGCATACCCCCCATGGAATCCCACCCCAGGCCGTGCAGACCCATTTAAGCCAAGTAGGCATCGAGTCGTTCTCAATTACCCATCACTTTCATCAATGGCACTGATGCAACTTGATGGAAGATGGAAACCGTGATGCATAGTTATTTTCGACCATGAACAAGACGACCAACACAGGCACCACGTCCCATTAGTGCAACAATTACGTATACCAGTTATGACTGTGGCAGACCTTCAGCTTGGTCTATTACCCAGACAAAACAGCAGGCTGGGACACTGACAGAAGTTGACCACCGGACTGCACATGCTACATGTGTAAGCCTACTTCTACACAAATCTTTGGCCAGTGTTGGACACAGGTAATCTGATTACAAGCAACAGAGGGGACAAATTTGGCAGAAGAGGAAACAGCTGAAATTGACTGTCAGGGAACCCCATCATTTGATGATACCTATACACCAAATATGATTTTCTTGATCCAACTACGATGTCATCTTGTTTCCTGGTGCATCTGACCAAATCAGATATCAAGTCACTACATGACATTTATATCGGTGCCAGATTCTAGATTGGACTAGAATATGACCTTTTCTCTTTCAATATGTCAGTTTATTTCTTTAAAATAGTGAGTGCAAAAGTGGGATATAGAATTTAGTAAGTTTTCACAATGATATATTGAAAAATTAGACAGCCAATGTTGCTTGTTTATGCGACCAAATTTGATATTTTGATAGTTTGATAGTTCTACGTAAAACCCAGATCAAGTTCCATAGGTCAATATTGGTCAGTATCAATAAGGTGAGATGCAACTAATCTGTGACTGGTTACTGGATGATAATGGGAGAATATTAAGATTGTTGTAAGATTGGATGATTAGTTTGATGACCAGCAAAATTGACCATTGATGAAAAGGTGAAAGACTGGTTTCTAGGTGATAACTTTGCCAGAAAGCAAATACTGATGGATTTAACCAAATTCAATTTGCAGGCATTTCATATGTAAAGGTAAGTGAAATTCAATAATAAACAAGATCAACAACTAGCTGAAATGCTCACATGGCAATACCTTAA